TTTGTTCAGTCTGATATGATCAATCTACAGTTTTTTAAAGTTTTATGTTGGCGTAACGAGGAAAGTATTTTCTGCTTTGAGATCCTAACCCTATACCACAGGATATTTAGAGGGAGAAATATAATGCAATATCTGAAAATCATGGTTTGGACATGGGTGGCCGGGGAGAGGTGGAAGATACTGTTCACTGTGTGTTGTATTGTTCCCTATGTAATCCTCTTGGGATAGGTTTCTGAAAGAGATTCTTGTTTCTTTCTTGGACAGTAGGAAATGATGATACAGTAGGTATTTATTGTAACCCACCCATCTGACCAGGTTGCCCCAGCCACTCTGGGTGACTTCCAACAAAATATGAAAGGGCACAACAAAATTAAAAGCTTCTCAAAACAGGGTTGCCTTCAGATGTCTGTGAAAAGTCATATAATTGTTTTATCTCTTTGACATCTGATGGGAGGGTGTTCCACAGGGTGGGTGCAACTGCTGAGAAGGCCCTCTGCTAAGTTCTCTGTAACTTCAGTTCTCACTGTGAGGGAACTGCCAGAAGGCCACTGAGCTGGACCTCAGTGTCCAGGCCAAACAATGGGGGAGGGGTAGCTCCTTCAGGTACACTAGTTGATCGATATACATACAGTAACATATTTAAAGTTTCTTAACCAATCAGATCAGACCAAAATGTAGCTTACAAAATGGGGTAAAATGTACTGGGGATCACCTGTACTTATATGTCTCTCTCAGGTTGACCACGAGTTTTTAGCAAATAAACGTGACTACTTTATGACACAGACACCGTCCTGGGATGACACATCAGGATGAATCCCCCTATCTAAAACCTCATTTAAATATCCACTAGAACCAAAGGGTAGGATTCCCTCGTCAATGGAAGCCATGCAGGACTTCCACTTGCACAATAGGGCTTTTCCTCCTCTCTTCCCCCTGCATCCCCCAAAATGGGCTCTATGGGTGTTGGGAGAACCAGAGAAGCCTCATCACTGGGAGCCAGTGTGGTGTAGTGGTTAAGAGCGGTAGTCTCGTAATCTGGTGAACCGGGTTCGCGTCTCCGCTTCTCCACATGCAGCTGCTGGGTGACCTTGGGCTAGTCACACTTCTTTGAAGTCTCTCAGTCTCACTCACCTTACAGAGTGTTTGTTGTGGGGGAGGAAGGGAAAGGAGAATGTTAGCCGCTTTGAGACTCCTAAGGGTACTGATAAAATGGGATATTAAATCCAAAATCTTATTCTTCTTCAGCAGCAGCAGCAGCGGAAGGCTCGGAACCAAGGTAGTGGTTGTGGAGCACTAAGACAGGTCAGAGGATGACGGGTAGGGCAGAATGGTTGGATGCTGAACAAGCAACCGGCTTGAGTGAGAGAGAGGAAGAAGAGTCAGACAGCACTGCAGGTGTAGGACAGGCAGCTGCAGATGAGGACTGAGGCTGCAACAGATTAATAACAACAAATAATAATGATGATGATGTTTTTATTTATACCCCACCCTTCTGGCTGGGTTTCCCCAGCCACGGACAGGAGCCTGCTGGTCCTACTGTACTTTAATTCCCTCCTCCTTTGTCTTCAAGGGCACGAAGAGTTCAGAGCACAGAGAGCACCTTCCCAATGGAGTTCACAACTGCTGGGAAAAGAGCCAGACAGGAGGTACAGATTGTCAGTTCTGGCAACTGCTTTACTATGGCCAGTCTTGCCCATAGGTTTCTGTTTGTATTTTCTTTCCTTGAATAGATAAGCAACTTATTCTGATGGACCCTAGTCTCACATGCATGTCCATATTCCTTGAAACAACGCAGAAAGCCATTTACAAGACCTTCAATCCTTATTTATTTATTTATTAAGGGCTGCGTGCTTAGAGATTGTGATACATTTGCGTTATCATACCTTATTATCAATTGGTGGCAAAGGCCTGGAATCTGGCAGTAGGAGAAAAACTGGCTGAATGCAACAGACAGACAGCTAAGGGGAATGAAATAAAAAGGGCCTGTTTGATGGTACATGGTACCCATTTATAACCTATGTGGTCTAACGAAGTGGTCTAAACCTTCCAACTGATTCCCAGAAATCTATCTGGCTTGATCCAGTTCCAAGGCACAGTTGGTCTTTGGGTTAGAGAACAAAAAAACTAAAGCAAAAAATGAGAAACACATTTTCTTTATTGAAAGTCCTGATAATGATCTCCTGATCTCTTCATTTTAGTTCTGATATAAGAGTTTGCTGATGATCACCCAGTGTTTATTTTGTATCCTTACTGCAGTATGATTGCTGATGTTTGTTTTATATTGCTCTGCTTGTTTATGTATCTCTTAAAAAATAATCTAAACATTTAGGGTTTTTTGTGGGGGTTTTTGTTTAAAAACACCTTATCGAGAATTGTCATTTTGTTTGGTTGAAATCCGGCTAGCAGATTGGTATGAAGTAGAATAAAAGCTTTATGTCCTCCCTCCGTTCAGTTTGAGAGCTTGGGAACTAAACCAGCAGTTCTTAAACCCCTTTCCTACACAGATAATTCAAAATTGCTGGGGGGTTTCGGCTGACCACTTACCAAACTCCCCCCCCTTCAGCACTAACATTATTGTCAATACTATCACTATATTGTGAAAATCACAGCCCCAGGCTGAGAAGGTTGCCTTTAACTGGTAGATTTCATGGGGGAAATTGGTACTGTTATAAAAATCACAGATCCTAAACCAGGGCTTTGGTGCCCTATTTGATAAATCTAGCCTGTGTAAAAATGGCCTAAATTTCCACTACCAGGAACAAATAAATCAAGTGCAGATACCCTAAACTCTTCCACAATATTTCTGTGGACCACCTGAATGGAACTTGTGCTCCATAGGATAGTTGCTTTGCTGGGTCAGACCTACATTCAATTTTAAGCATATTTATAGAAAAGTAAATGCCATATTTTCTTCCTGGTAAGTATGCCGAAGAGTCCTGGTTTGAGGCCCATCTAAAGGCATTTTGACAGGACCCATTCAAGCATCCCTGCGAAGCTCTTAAGTTGGGTATGATGAAGCTCCTTAGGTTGCTTCTAGGAAACTTCTATGCACCTCTCGTGACTAGTGGCCATTGATAAACTTATGAACATTGATTCATCTAATTCTAAATAAAGCCATCTATGCTAGTGTATATCATCGCATCTGTCGGCAATTAATTCCCTCAATTAATTAAGCATTGTGCAAAAAAGTCATTTTTAAAATTCCTGAAATTAGCAACCAAAGCTGTAATCCTATGCACATTTTAAGATGTTACCATACCCCACTGAATTCAGTACAGCTTGCACATAGGCTGCACGTTTTACTCTATTTTCACAGGGAAGGAGGAATAAGTTTATTCACTTTCTCCATCATTTTATAAAACTCTTACCATGTTCCTCCTTGGATAATATTCCGCCCCCCCCCCAAAAAAAGCTCCAGGCCCATAAGCCATTTTTTGTAGCAAAGCTGTGCCAACGCTCTACAGGTTTTTAAGCAGTCCTCGCTTGAAGACACACTTGTTCATTGCTGCTTTTATGGAATGCTTTTAACTGAGCTGCTAAAATAGTGGTGCTGTTTTCTTCTGATTATGTTTTATTATTGTACTGGGCAACTTGCTGCAGTTTGTACATACTATTTTAAGGTTACTGGGAGTTTTAAAGTTTGTTATGTTGTCACTACATATTTCAGAATATTTTCCTGAAAAATGGTTCAAATTTTTTTAGATGAATATTTTTTTATTGCCCTGTCCTAGATATTGATCAGACAATACAGTGCAAGTCTTTCTGTCTCCCCTCAGAAGCAAGCCACATTGTTTTCAGTGGGACTTACTCCCAGGTTAAGCGGCAATTGGATTGCAGCCTTGCTTTGTTGGGGCACCCACGTTTGCATTCCTATCTGGATCCACTGGAAATGTCTTTAACTGCATTAGGATAGTGGATTCTGGAGCTTAAGTATTCTTGATTGTTACAGTTTATATTCTCTTTTCTCCAAGGAGCTCAGAGCTAAATACTGTCCCCAACTCACTTCTAGTCCGTTGTGTTTAGGATTTCAGCCTTTTTGTTTTCACTTTCATTCTTTCCTGACAAAGTTGGGCACAAAGCAGCCAAACCTAAGCTAACTTAAGCCCCATCAGTTTCAACAGGAATGTTAAGCAGCAATTAAACTCTCTCATGTGGTTCTGAAATTTTAAATAGGTCCTGAATTATTGTTCCGGTCCTCTCTAAATTTTATTTTCTCTGACCGATTGTGGATCTTGATTAGGAGTTGGGCTGTATAACCCCCATTTTCCTAGAACAGTCTTCAATTGTTATTATTATTTTAAAATCTGTTTTACGGTTCCTCCTATTGTTGAATTATTATTTTTTTATTTTTTTTGCCGCTTCATATAATAGCAGAACCTCGTACTTGAAGGAGCAGCGACCGAAACATTAATAATGGCTGGCACTTTTTAAGTGTGTGTGTGTGTGCATGTGCAAAGAATTATAACTGCAATGCAGTTGCCATTCTTTGGGAGCAGCTTCATTCACGGCAACCTTTCACTTCGTGGGGTTGCCTTCTCCATCGGCGTTTCTCCTTGACAATGACACAGAAAAGAGACACACACACAGAGAAAGAAAGGCCTGCACGCTGCACTCCCCCAGTCGGTCCCTTATTTCACAAAAGGGCGCCCAGTCGCGGCACCCACACCCCTTCCAACTTATTCGAAGCAGCCATGGTGACCTATATCCATAATCCGGCAGCCCCCCGCCCTCACCCCGAGCAGCCGGCGGCAGAGAAGCCCCCTCGCCCTCCTCCTCCAATCCCACCCGCTTCCCCTACAACCGCGGCGGCGCCTTTTTGCAAAACCGGCAGCGGCCTCCTCCCGCCCTCCCCAGCTGCCCTTCAAAACGGCCGGCCAATGGCAAAAATCGGCGCGGCCGCCGGCGGCCAATGAAGCGAAGGCAGCGAGGCGGTTGCCAGGCAGGTTGGGCCGAGCAGGTCCAATCGGGGGCTCACCCAACCCAGCGCAGAGGAGGGAGGGAGGAGGCGGCGGCGGCGAGGAGAAACCGAGGGAGGGCGACGAGAGGAGGCCGGGCCGGCGGCGGCGGGAGAGGCCGAGCGAGCGCTTTCGAGGTCCGGGATGCCCTACAAGCTGAAGAAAGAGAAGGTGAGCGAGCGGGGGGCGGAGGCGCCCCGGGGCCGGCCCACCCCCCATCTCTCTCTGGCGCCACCCCGCCCCAGGGCCGGGGCGGTGGGGTGGGCGGGAGCGCCCGGGCGCCAAAGCCTTTCCCGGGGCCTGGCGGCATCCGAGCTCGGGGCCTCCGCCGGGAGTGGAGCCGCCCCGCGCGCCGAGGGGGCCGAGGACGCGGGCAGGAAGCAGCTGCACTTGCAGCAGCCCGGGGCTTCGACGCAGGATCCGTGTGCCTGTGCAACACACACACACATCCAGGACTAGCAAATCAGTGCACACACACCTGCAGGTCTAGGTTTGCAACACACACACACGTATGTATATCCTATGTAGGAAAGGGCGCACTGGCCACACAATGCACCACATATTTGTTACTACCCCTGAGCACGGGCCTCTTGGGTTAAGCAAGCGCCCGCGCGCGCACACACATCTTTATATCAATATCTGATTCACATATATTATATATAGGAAAGGTACTGACCGGGCAACGCACATCATATTTGTTACTACACTCTTAAGCACGGGCCCCCTGGGTTAAGCATACACAAGCACATATGTATCTTTATTTCTGTATCTACATCTAATGCATATATATTTAGGGTGGAGGGAGGACGCACGGGCCAGACAATGCACAGCATATTTGTTATTATCCGTGGGTTAAGCATACACACAAATACATATGTCTTTTAAATCTAATTGCAGGAAAAGACGCCCTGGTCAGACAATGCACAGCCCGTTTGTTGTTAACTGCCTCTGAGCACGGGCCCCCTGAGTTAGGCGCGCACACGCGCAGGCAGGCAAGCACCCACACGGGGGGAGAAAATGTCCGCACTCGTGCAGGAGCCTTGCACCTGGGGAGAGGCGGGCTGAGGAGGGTGTCGGCGGCGTAACACAAGGGTGCTGACGGGCAAGAGGCCGTTGCATCCTAGACGGGGTGGAAGGGGAAATGCAGGGGCCGAGAGTAAGGCGAGGGAGGGAGGAGAAGAGGCGATCGCAGCATGGTGCATAGGCAAGCGCCGTTGCATGGCACGGACGGGGGGGTGGGGGTTGGGTTGGGTTGAGTGCTTGCTTTGCGGAGAAAGAGGGAATCTAGTAGTGACGGTCTCCGTGGCAGTTCGGGGGGGGGGGGACCCAACACGGATCTGGGCCTGAGCGTCCTAGAATGCAGTGTGCGCGCACCGATAGCGGAGGATGCGCTGCGCTTCTTTGTATGCTTCCTTCGCGTCCATCGCTTCCGGTTCGGGGGCTCCCTGTGCAGGCGTGTTCGCGATGCCCGTGTTTGTGTGTTGCATTCGGAGGTCAGACAAGCACAATAGGCCTCACACTTGTCTTGCCATGCAGCAGGGGGAGGCCTAAGGACAGATTGCTCCCTTTAAATCGGACCCTTGCGTTTCAAGCACAAAGTTATGGGAAAAGAGTACACAGTCATTGTTGCCTTTCGCAGTGCATCGCAACCACACTTAAGTGGCACTGGGGCAAATGCAGATTTAGGCAAGCGGCAGGAGTGGAAGTGGGGCAAATTCAAGGCCTATGTAGAAAGGCACTGCAGCTATGATATTTAGGAAGGATGCATCTGCATGTAAAGAGGAAGAATCTTGAAAAAAAGGTTTGATTGTGTTATTTTGTGCGGGGCACAGAGTTCAGGTGTGCACTATGTGCAAATGCAGAGGAGGCTGTATAGGTAGTGTAAGCACCTGGTGGGGCTGTGGGTGCTAAGTGGGAGTGCACAGAGAATCCTGTGCAGACATTGGCCAGGCATTTGTGCATAACTTTAAGGGGATAGAAGACAGAACTCCTGTGAACTGCTGTACACTGCAGAAGTATGCAGAACACAAACAAACGTGCAGAGTCTAGGATTCGGAGCAGAGTCCGAAAGACTTAGCACCCTAGAAGTAATGTGCGTATCCATGTAACATGCAATGTAGGCGTGGCGCCTCTGTCCAACATAGGCATGTGGCACAAATGTGTGGCTCAGTTGCAGAGAGGAAGTATGCAAAGTGGGGTATGTTGGCATGCTGAGCTAAAGGTTCATGAGTGCAACATTCCTGCTAGTGGAAGTGGACATGCATTGCATAGGGAAGGCTGCATGTTCAGTTTCCAGAAGCTCTCAGTAGGGCCAAGAAAGACTTCTATCTAAACCCTGAAAAACAGCTGCCAGGCTTTAGATGGCTTTGAACTTAGAACAAGACCTGTTCCTGTGTACCAGTGTTCACCTTCATGAAGCAGAAACATGTAAATAATAATAATAATAATAATAATAATAATAATTTTCTTATACCCCACCAGTGTTCGAAACTCCCGTTGTTTTAGGCGCATTTTGCGACAGGGAATTTCATTAGCACAAGCAATTTCTGAGCTCTGGGTGCAGCACTGTGCCTAAAATTTCATATTAAAACTGCAGAGTGGAAGGAAAGGAGGACCTTTTTTCTGCCTCCCCACTTCCAGTTACTCTCCGAAGACTGGAGAAGAGACCCTCTTAAGAATATTAGGGGGGTGGGCAGGGGAAGGACTGGACCTTGCAAAAAATGAACATAATATTTTAGCTGCAGTTCATTCCTTTTCAGCTTTGTATTCTTGTTATTTAAAAAGTGTGCCTAGACATTACGTTGTTGTGCCCATAACCTAGATTTAAGTTACCATTTAGCTCCTAGCTTCATATCTTAGTTTCTAACACTGTACCCCACCCATCTGACTGGGTTACCCTGGCCACTCTGGGCGGCTTCCAGCAAAATACGGGGGGGACGGACGGACCTCACATCAAACATTAAAAGCTTCTTAAAACAGGGCTGCCTTCAGATGTCTATGAAAAGTCATGTAGTTGTTTATCTGTTTGACATCTGACTGGAGGGCGTTCCTCAAGGCGGAACCGAGAAGGCCCTCTGCCTGGTTCCTTGTAACATCACTTCTCGCAATGAGGGAAGGGCCAGAATGCCCTTAGAGCTGGACTTCAGTGTCTGAGCCGAATAATGGGGGTAGAGACACTCTTTTAGGTATACAGGGCTGAAGCTGTTAGGGCTTTAAAGGTCAACACCAGCACTTTGATTTGTGCTTGGAAACATACTGGGAGCCAATGTAGATCTTTTAGGACCAGTGTTCTATGACCCTGATGGCTGCTCCCAGTCACCAGTCTAGCAACTGCATTTGGGATTAATTGTAGTTTCCAAGTAGCCCCTGGTTCCGATTTAAATGAGAGGTATCATTCACATACTGAGGAACACTCAGCCCAAATCCCCTGATGATCTCTCCCACCTTTTATTTGAGCAGCAGATATGGACCTAAAGGCACAACACAGACTCTCTTCACAATATGGTTATCAAACACATGCATTTCACAGCAAAAAACAAAAGTGGTCCTGCAGCATGGATACTATTTGTTATTATTTCTATCCCACCTTTCTTCAGACAAGCCCGTTCTGCTCCCCATTTTATCCTCAAAGCAACCCTGCACCATAGACTAGTCTGAGAGTGAATGGCTGGCTCAAAGTCACCCAGAAAGCTTCATAGCTGAGTGAGGATTTGAACCGTGGCCTAGTCCTTGTCCAGTACTCTTAACCACTATGCTGCACAGGCTCACTAAAGCGTCATTTTCCGCAGCAGCCCATCACATATGCCTTGGCGCAGGTCAAATTCCCTTGCGAAATATGTTTTAATATAACTTGTAAATGTATTTTCCTTACCTGTGATGAAGTTCCTTTAGATTGTAGCCTGTACACACTTGCCTGAGAGAGAGCCCCATTGAATTCTGCCTTGGTCAGTACGGCTTCTGTCTGTGTTAGGGTGGGAAAAATAGGCCGAATACAGATTTTGTTGACTGTCCACACACCAGTTGAATGGAGCTCCCTCCCCGCAGCTTGAGAACCTCTTTTCAGTTTGTCCTCCAGTCTTTGTTCTCTGCCTGCATTGCAAACTGCTTTCTAAATAGCAGTTTACTAGCATTTGCTTGCTGTTGGCAGATAAGCCCTTTCCCATGGAGGATGGCAGGAGCAGAGACTCGGCTGCTCTGGCTAAGGCAGAGAGAGCAACAGGCTGCAAAACAGGCAGCTGCCTCCCACCAGTGGGTGGGACTTCAAGAGAGTCAGGTGCCCTTTTTAAAGGGAAGAGAATTGATCGTTCTAGCAGAAGCACTTGGATGATGATCAGTGTGTTTCCATACACAGACTTTTCTCTTGCGCCAGGAAGTTTGTGTCTCTTGGGCACCGACATGGAGACCATGGTATAGGAGCCTATTTATGGGATGGTGTCCTCTTTTTCTGTCGGGGTTTCATGATGCTTGCCTTGCAGGATCCATGAACTTTGTTAAGCTGTTGGTAAAAGAGTGCATCTGAAAGTGCTTTTTTCCTGTTCCTTTTCCTCCTTAGGAGCCTCCAAAGTCTACTAAAAGCACTACGAAAGCCAGTAGCAGCAGTGGCAGCAGCAGCGGTGGTGGTGGTGGTGGCAGCAGTGGCACTGGCAAAGATGGAGGCACGGAGAATTCAGAAGAGGTAGGATGCTGAAGTCATCTTTTGCATGATGTATGTTGCAGTCTGGTTGGATTAGAGGAGACTTCCCCGACACGGGGACCACCAGATATTTGGGACTGCAACTTCCATCCGTGTTCCTATCAGCCCCTGTGCTGATAGGTTATTGTGAGATCAGAGAGGGAGAAGGGGATTGGTAAAGGAAGAATGGAAACCACCAGTAGAAATTAAATCTCTACGCAAGCCGAAAAAGCATGTGAGAGGTTGCAGTATGTGGTGGTTTAGCATGTAACATAATAATTAAGTGTCTGAACTATAAAATTCAAATCTACCGTTGGTGTTGGAACTCCTGAAATTACTTCTATTCAAGCCACACAGCCTCAGCAGATTCCATTTCCTCATCTGAAACATGGTGATTATAATAATGATATACTGCACCTTATGTGGTTGTTTTGCGGATTGCAACAAAATCATATACATAAAACAGTTCGGACAATTATAAATTTTGTATAAGTGTTGAATATAATCCATCTATCAGGTTTTGGTAATTTGTGATTATTTCCTGAGTTCTTTTACCTACCCTCTTATTTAATTATAAAATACGGTCGTTTTAGATGAAAAATAGGCAGAACCTATTTTATGGGTTTGGTTTTTTTTAATTAAGAGCGATAAAGGGTGAGAACTAAACCTTGTGGGAAAGGAACCAAACAGAAGACTAGTCAAGTGTGTGTGTCTAGGGTAGATGGAGATTACCAGAATACTATTTTGGTGCACAGAATTAATGGCAGAGAAATTCAAGTGAAGGATGTTTAGCTTAATTGATGGCATTCATGGAATTGACTGTGGTAGAAAAGCGTACAGGTTGCGGACTTGTTTTCAAAATCTAAAAGAAGATTTTGCTTTTTTTCCCCCTCCTTGAAATTCAAATAAGTGGCAGTATTGTAAATAGAAAAAAAAGGAGAAAGGTTAGAACAAAAATATCTGTTTCTCTATTTAGACTGAAACATTTTTTGGGGCTGCAGGTGTTTTTGAACTACACCTCCCATCATCCCTGACATTGACCATTCTGGTTGGGGCTGATGGGAGTTGTAGTCCAAAACATCCGGAGGACACCAGATTGGTGAAGTTTGGGTTAAAGGGACAGCAGTGCTGCAGGATTCGAAGTACAAGGGTTCTTTTTCCCATGGTACAATGTGTGTATTCTCAAAGATGAGGATGCCTGTGTGGTAGTGAAGTTCTCTTAGAGTTAATCCTTCGTTGAGGCTTCTTGATGAGGTTCTGGTAGATAAGGTTCCCCCTCCTTGGGGTCTGCTTCCATTTAGCACTGACACCTCAGCCTTAGAAAACATGAGGTGGTCTTATTTTGGAATAAGAAACAAAGGTCCATTTAACGGTCACTTGAAGATAGGGCTGGGAAAATTCCAGCTGCTTTGTTGCTTGGGTTCTTAAACTCTTGATGCTGTCATCTAGGAATTGGAAAGGTCTGCAGGATCTGATAATAGCTTTTAAAAATGGAGGCCTAGGACTTGAAATTATTTTTCATCAGCTGTGAGTTTGGAAGAAGTTTTTTTGTGCCTGAAGTCAAGAGTGCTCCAAAGATTTACCCTCCAATCAATAGCTTTTAATAAGTCGGGGCAACTCTAGAATAATAAATTCTAGTACTGTACTAAAATATGTAAACACAATTGCGAATTCCACCTGGTGTATACTTGCTCATTGTGTCCCAAGTAGGAAGAGGAACACCAGCCACTGTGTTGGTCAGCAGATATCTTGGGGGGTTTCCCACGACATGACCCAGGGAGGAGTCAGGCTAGCATTTCCTGAGTCAATGGAAGATTCCCATTTTCCTACTTGAATGTGTTGGTGGTAGACCTCTCCTTCCCATTTTGAATCACAGGAGTCCTAAACATTAGCTTTTCAAGGTTAGATCCCTTTGATAATATTATTGATCACACCCGGGTTGGTGGTGGTGGTGGTGGGAGAAACTGTGGCTCTCCAGAAATAGTTGGACTTATAGCTCCCATCATCTGTGACCTTGGCCATTCTGGTTAGGAGTTGGGAGTCCACAAGTGCCCTTTCTTTGGATTAAACCAAACAATGTATTGTGGAAAGCTTTCCATCTCCTAATGGCAGTGAGGACAGGGTTATTGCTTTCCCCAAAGGTAGCTGGTTGCTCTCAGATTTAGTGGAAGATGCTGTCCCATAATTTTAGAAGACATCTGAAGGCAGCCCTGTTTAGGGAAGTTTTTAATGTCTGATGTTTTATTGTATTTTTAATATTTTGTTGGAAGTCACCCAGAGTGGCTGGGGAAACCCAGCCGGATGGGCGGGGTAGTATTATTATTATTATTAATTATAATAATTAGTGTTGAAGTAAGATTCAACTTGGGGTGGGCAGATGGGGTTATTGGTTTGTTCCTGTTCTTCTTGTTATTATGCATTTTGTGTTTTTTATCTTGTGTTTTTATGTTGAGATCTACAGATGAAGGATGGTATACAAATTTAATAATAATCATCATCTCTGGTTGCAGAAACAGACTTCTTTTATTGGCTTGAGGTAGAGTAGGGTGAAGAAAGGGACTAAGCAAGCACCGGGAAATGCCTCTTTTCTTGTATTGTTGTCTTGAAGATTTACTGTAAGTCCTAACGTTCAGGGACAAGAGCCCCTTTCATATAATGTAGGAACGCTTATTCACAGATATGTATATTTGTGGGCATCAAGGCCATATTCACAGCATACATTCGAAGTTCTGTGATACCACTTTGAACAGTCACGGCTGTCTCCCAAGAATTATGGGAACTGCAGTTTGTTAAGGGTGCTTGAGAGTTGTTGGGAGAGCTCTATTCCATTTCAGGAGCTACAATTCACAGAGTGGTTTAGCAGTTAATATCTCTCCACAGGGAAGTCTTGAGAATTGTAGCCCTATGGGGCCTCCTAATAACTGTCAACACCCTAATCCAGGCTTCCTCACACTCCGCCCTCCAGATGTTTTGAGACTACAATTCCCATCATCCCTGACCACTGGTCCTGCTAGCTAGGGCTCATGGAAATTGTAGGCCAAAAACATCTGGAGGGCCGAGGTTGAGGAAGCCTGCCCTAAACAAACTACAGCTCCCACAGTTTTTGGACGGAAGCCATGACGGTCTAAAGTGCTATCAAAGTTCTTTAAATGTATGGTGTGAATGTGGCCGAAGACAGAGGGAATAAAATGAGAAAGTGAGGTCAGGCTGCTGAAAATATTTTAGGCTATCATACAGACCCCACTTATCTGGGAGTAAGCCCCATTGAATTAATTGAGATTTACTTCTGAGTAGACATGGTTAGGATTGCAGCCATAGTCTTTTTAGATGCCACCAGGCACTCTTGTCATATTTTTTGTTGCACCAGAATACAGCTACCCTTGTGGCATTGATTAAAAGTTGCTAATGACGATGGCTGGAGTTCTTTCAAACTATCAGTAAATAATGTTCTGTTGCGCTAGCATGGCTATTACTATTCAATGAAACAACAGCTCTAGTTTTCACACAGCCTGCTAAAAAGCAATGCCGATGCAGTTTCTGAAAGCATAGTTGTGAGTGTGTGACACCTTAGAATGTGCTAAGCAATTGTGAGCATCCTGGAAGCAAGTGTAAAACTAACTTGAGGCTTTCCGTTAATTTCGGCTGAGAAGCTGTTGCTATGCCCCAGCAGTTGGCATGAAAGAATTGGGGGTGTCAGCTTTTACCCTCTTGAGTAGGGCTGGGGGAAAATATTCCAGATTTCCTAGGTTGCCCTAACTTAACTGTTTAGGGGCCTAGCACTAAAGCTCATGGCAAAGTCATGTGGGTCAGGAATCCCTATTTTTCCGTATTTGGGATTTATCCCGTTCTTCCTCCGCATTGGGGAAGGCATGGAAGAAAACCTGCAAACTGTTCAGCAGCTTGCATCAATTAGCAAGATGTTCTTTGGGCTGAAAATAATTAGAAAGCAAATGGGTCGGAGAAGCTCAGAAGCTGTCCTCTATTCCTGCTGTGTTGGAGCTGGGCAGCAGTCACACCCTAGCAAAGAATGATCTTTAGTTGCTTGTAATGGGTGTGCATCTACATAGAGGTGAACCCGGCAGTTACCAGAGCAATCAGATGCTGAAATATAATGTCTGTGTGCAGGCTTTTAACGTGCAGAGATCTGGACACAAACCAAGAACTCCGTTGTCTCGCTCCCATAGAGGGCAGGGCACATTTTCAGTCTGCATTGCTTTTTGATGCCTTCTTGATGGAATTCTGGTCGCAGAGCAGAGCGGAAACAGCAGCCCTCTGAAACTATTGACCTAATCAAAGCCCGCTTAAAGTAGAGAAAAGGGCCTGTGCCCTACATGCAATTCAAAGCCAGCCTTGTAGGTGTAAATCTGCAAGTCCTTTCAATGGCAGCCGTTGCACCCATGCATAACCAAACTCATGCAATGCACATTTAGTCATGAGTTGGTTCTTTATCGGATGCCTTCTGATGCACAACCAGCATTCTGGTATGGTTCGTTTGCCAGAATCTCTCTGAGGTCTGGACTGGTGTTGCTACTGAACAATCCTGCCCTGCACCATTCCTGATGTGCATTAAGATGTTCCTTGCAATTCCTCTCCTATGTCAGATCTGCCGCTGCCAAAGGTACAACACTAGTCGTACAAATGGAAGCCACACCCATTATCTCCTGCAAGTACAGACTTATTGCTTACACAGGCTGACGGGGCATGTCTTCCTTAGGCAAAACTGATTGCAGGTTTCCAGCTCTCTCCTCCAAAATAATTTGTCTCTCAGTTACTCCCCATGCAAAGGATAAATTTAGGTATTTGAGGTGTGAAAATCATCATGCGTGCAAGCTGATACGTTCTCTCATTGAAACTAATTATTGCAGCAGCGGCCTTTAGCTTGTAGTTGCTTCCAGTGTGCAGGGCAGGGCCGTGTTTACTCTTTGCTCAAACAATCAAATTAAAATTCTGCATCGACAAAAGTTCAGTTCTGCAATGTCCATATGCTAGGGCAAAAATGAGCA